AGATAGACAGATAGACAGATAGACAGATAGATAGATAGATAGATAGATAGATAGATAGATAGATAGATAGATAGATAGATAGATAGATAGATAGATAGATAGATAGATGGATAGATGGATGGATGGCTGATGGATGGATGAATAGGTTTTATTAATCCCTCAGGAGTTTTTTTGGCGGAATTAAGGAAGATCCCTTACCTGATGGTTTGAATGCAGTTAGCTGCACTGACTGTAAAAATCAGAAGAACATTTAGTCAATTTCAGTGCACATAAAGTTAATTGGTCATCAAGCATAACTCATGCATTCCTTACTTGGTTTTCTGATGCAGGTTTAAAAGAGAAATTATCCAAACCGTCCCTTTTAAATCTCTCTGAAAGACACAGTTGGAAAAGAAAAGATTTAAGACACAGGATTCAACTCGCAGATAAAAAATATTTCTTAATATACAAAAGTCTCATCTTCTTCTCTTCTCTGACTGTAGAATTGTATTGTGCAGTTATGGGTCAGATTCTGAAGCAGTTCAGTTAAATTTAGAGGTTTAACGAAACACTCAATGCACCATCTCATACAAATCACAATATAATTTTTATCACAGGGTTTTTGAAACAGCATGAGCTCCAGATGTATGTAAATACAATGGGCCTATTTGTAAGAACTATGCAAAATACTATCCACAACTGAAATGGTCTGGTGTACCTGATGAACTGAAGTTTTATCTTAAATACCATAATAATTAAAAAAAAAATACTGAAATAAGAACTGAAATGAGTTCCTTTCTTTACAGATATAGTATAAACACTGTTTCTCTCCTCTTGACACTACAATATTGATGCAGCATAAAAAAAATGCAAGGTGGTGATCGTCTTTAGAGGCTTGAGAAGTTTCATGATATCCTTTACATCACAGACGTCCTATGTGGTGACAAATCGAAGCGAATTATCATCATTTTTAATCTATTAGGATTCAAAAGATTTAAAAAAAAGGAGATTAGATAAAGCCAGCACACGACTAATTCTAGGTATTTCAAGTATTGAGTTGAAAGAATGAATTTTAGACCTTGAACAAAGTGTCAAATCTACACATTTCATTCATTTTGACGCTGTTACTTTTCCTGGCTTAAGCTACATGAATACTTCTCTATCCTATGACCAAACTGTGGCTCAGGAGCTACATGCGGCTCTTTTCACGGTTTCATGCGGCTCTTACGTTCATGTCAAATTTTATGTTTATATTTGGGGTTTTTTTACAGCACATGAATCTCACGCACAAGGGTGTTGAAGCAAATAACTCGGAGCAAAAAATGCACAGCAAAACAAAAATATGAAGATGAAGACAGGAAGTTTTTAACAGAGTAGGAGAGGTCTGCACTGTATATAATGTGGCTCTTAGCTTCTGACTGGTTGGCCACCACTGCTGTAGATCATGTTGTACTTTTCCAGGTAAAATTACAGCCATACATGTTGGAAAATGTGGTAGTAACAATCTACATGTGGAAAGCCAAGCTGGTTTCTTGAATTGTTTGAATGTTATTGTTAACAGAGGAACACACACTTCCTCAATAATGAAGTTTATAACCAGAGAAGCTTCTGAAGTCTTCCAGATTCTTCAAAATCACAGGTCCATCCATCAATCCATCCATCTTCAACCGCTTATCCGGGGCCGGGTCGCGGGGGCAACAGTCTGAGCAGGGACACCCAGACTTCCCTCTCCCTCGACACTTCCTTCAGCTCTTCTGAGGGGACCCCAAGGTGCTCCCAGGCCATAGTCGCGACATAGTCGCTCCAGCGTGTCCTAGGTCTTCCCAAGGTCTCCTCCCAGAGGGATGGTACCCGAGCACCTCCCGAGGAAGGCGTCCGGGGGGCATGCGATGTAAATGCCCAAGTCACCTCAGTTGACTCCTCTCGATGTGGAGGAGCAGCGGCTCTACTTCGAGCTCCTCTCGTGTGACAGAGCTTCTCACCCTATCTCTAACTTGCGCTCTGCCACCATGTGGAGAAAGCTCATTTCAGCCGCTTGTATCCGGGATCTCGTTCTTTCGGTCAT